ACAAAATAAACATCTGAAATATATGAGTTTGTATGTAATGTATGAATATAATATACAAGTTTCACTTTTTAAATGGAATTACTGAAATCAATGTACTTTTTCATGATATTCTAATTTTATGACCAGCACCTGTATAGTGATTGAAGGATCTAGTGGTTTTTCGGACACAGCCTATGGCTTCTTCACAATATGTAAAAATTAAAATGAGCTGCTAATCATACAGACTACCTGCAGGTGATTGTTGGGAATCAACAATCCACTAATGGGGAAATAAAGACAGGAGTTGTGATAGCAAGTGAACTAATGTTAGCAGCATTAGAGAACCAAAATCCCTTTGTGTGGAGACAATGCTCTGGTGGGCTTTTTGGTTTGCACAACTAACCCACAAGTGTGTGAAAATGTGCCAAAGGCATTTAAAATGATAAACACCTAATAGAGTTTAAAACGAAACTGAGTTGCACAACACACAAGTTTTAACATGAAGATTTCCAGGTAGGATTATTTGTCTAAAGGCAACTGTGAAACCTGATCAACCATTTAATAGTTCCATGTTAAACTGATTTACACAACACACAAGTTTTAACATGAAGATTTACAGGTGTTGCTCCTTTTCTAAAGGTCCCTGTGAGACTTCCCCAGCCATTTGAGTTTCTAAGAAAACTGGTTTTCTCTCCAAGAACCTTAGACAAACGCGAGATAAGATTCTTAATATGTCATTTAGATGGGGTAATATTCATGTCATGAGAGTAGAGAAGTAAACACAAACAATACTGTGACTAAATTATAAGTATTCTTACCATCACTGCCCCTCTTTCCACACCATGTTAGGCCATCCAAGACAGATCCAAGCAGTGTCCTCTCCACAGTCAGGAAACAGTCCCCCTTCGCAGCTAAGTCTTGGGCCACATCCTTTGTTTTGCTCCAGAACATCATCTTTTGCAAATACAATAATCAGAACACATTCAGATACATTCACATCATCATTCTGTGTAATTCTGATCAAAAACAATAAATTAATTAAAATAAATTATTCAATCTGTTTTACTCTGTTGCAGGACGTTTCCAAAGGGGCTGCTTCAATAAGGCTGTCATAAGCCTCTGGGGGAACATCACATTGATCTCGGTCCACATAGGCTTTCTGAAACGCATCCCATATTTCTGTACAGTTATACCTGGAGATAAAAGATTAAAGTTCAGCTTTTAAAACGCTTCACATATTTCTCAAAGTACGTACTTTGTATCTAAGCTATCAACCAATCCTGCAAACCAATTCTTCAAAGTTGACAGTTGAGGTGTAATTCAACCATAGTGTTTCTGTATACAAAGGAGACAAATTTATATATATATACTAATGACAGGCTTTAAATATAACCCTTTGTGACCTCATTCATACTCAACGGATGTGGGTTCATTAAAATGTCTCAGCTTTCACAGATGGTTCTTTGGTTTCCTGTTTTTGCAAGTACCAGGCAGGTGCTGGCTTCTTGTCTTCATAGGAAAGGTGGAGCCGTTTCTGTAAACAACTGCTGTATAATGACTGTTTCAGCAGTATTACACTTTGTGTCTGACTATTCTCACTCAGGCAAGTTAATTAAAACAGAAAGGCCTCATTATGCTGTAATATGTATTTAAAATGTGTATTTAAAATTAACAATTCTCACCAAAACATTAAATAAATGGAATAAATGTCCATGGTCCAGGTGCATGTATCCACTACCAAACAAAGCTCTGACTGTCACATTTGTAGAATCAGCTGCTGCAAACTGCACCATTGAAATCTGAGAGCTTCAATCTACTTATTATTTGATTAATTCCTTTTCTGATTTGATTGGTGTTTTCCTTTTGTCTGGAGTCTATCCCAGCATTTATCAGGTGAAAGGAAGGAACACCCTGGTCACAGTCCATCGCCCTTTGAGACAATTGATTCACTCTTACTCATCTAAATGCAGGGTTAGTGAAACTAAAGTTATCTTAAAGTGTAGTGCACATGTTCAGCAACCAAACTGAATATTTGGTCCAGATTCCAGAAAAGTGTAGCAGGTTTTGTCTTCACAATTACTTCTCAGATTCTTGTTCAATCTCAGTGCTGGGCTCCCCATTCTGTGGCAAGCGTCCTTCTCTTTCTCTCTACTGTCTCTTCAAAGATGCTAAATTCCTACATCGACCAGGGCAAACCAACAGCAAACTTTTTATATTTCATGTTATTGTCATTCAGAAAAAAGTCATCATCATAAAAAGCTGGAATAAGTCAAGAATTAGCATCAAACTGTAAAAAAAAATATAATAATGGGGCCATTGCTGCATCAACTCAGTAAGGTGAGCCTGATGCTCTGATGAAGCATCAAAGGAGCAAAAGGAAGTGGAAAAGTGCACTTTGGGGTTGTACAGTCAACTCAATTCAATTCAGTTTATTTATATAGTGCCTATTCACAACACATGACATCTCAAGGCGCTTTACAGTTCACCAGATCATACAGTCAAATTGATTCAAAGTTTTCTATCTATGGAAAACCAGTTGATTGCATCAGCTCTTTGACTCAAATACAATCCCTCACACTAAGCATGCTTGTAGTGACAGTGGAGAGGAAAAACTCCCTTTTAACAGGAAGAAACCTCCAGCAGAACCAGGCTCAGTGTGAGCGGCCATCTGCTGAGGCCGACTGGGATTAAAGGAGATAGAAGCAGGGTTACAAAAAACAACTGTAAAAGGCGGCCCTG